TCTTTATTAAAAGGTGAAAATGTTTTAGAATATTAACGCATTTTATCAAAACCACTGGATCCTGTTTAAGTTTTTATTTTAATCAAATCAAAATAAACGTGACATGATTCTAAATGGTGAATAAAGAAACAATAAATAAATATAAGTTTTTTCTTTTCCAGAAGAAAAATAAGAAGAGAAAAAAATATGAATTATTTTTCCGTTATTGATCTCGATGATTATCTAAATATCGTAATTTCTATAATAATATAATTTTCTTATTGTTGTCTTTTACTTATATGACTATACCAGGCCTCGAGTTCAACAATTGATGTTTGTATGTTAGCTAATTATTTTTCAAGGTCATCAAGTTTAAATGATATCCTCATAATCTACTTGAATTTTTTCTATATAATTTACAAAAGCTTTACATATGATATACATAGGCAATTATTTCAATTATTTCTCGATCGAGTTTTTTTATTCAATTCAATAAGTTTATTTTTATCATTAATAATGAGTGATTCAACAGCAGATACTAGATCAAAAAAAGAATATTATAATATATTATTTTTTAAAATCCACAAACCATTATCTTCATTCGACATTGTTTTTTCAATTGATTTGCAGTTTTACTTCGAATTTGATCAATATGCATTCTAGCCTAATAATAAATAACGTTTTCTTTCTTGAAGCATTCAACAAAGAAAGAAAAATCATACATAAGCATGTAATAATTCCTTTGAACAGTCATTGTTAAATTAGCACATGATTCACTTATTTTATCATTAAAGAAAAAAAACCAAATTACTGTATCTTAAATAAAAGAATTCGATTTTAGGATATTTCAATGATAAGTGTATTATGATGTATTTGCTTTGTTAATCATAGTATATTGTACGTTACATTTGTCAATAATTTGAGAATATAAACTAAAATAATTTAAAAGAAATAACAGATTTATCTGAATTGATTTTTGTAACAAATAAAATATATTCCTAACACACAATATAAAATTTAAGAAAAAACAATTTTAGCCTTTTTTTTCAAAGCTCTACTCTATTCAAATATCTTATAAGTAAGATCTTGAAATCTTGGGATCGGTAAGCAAGATTTTATCAAGATCTTTAAAAGATAATTCGGTTATGTAACTCTTGATCGTATCAGATAAATCTGTATCTAAGATCTAGGCAAGATCTGTTCAAAGATTTTCACATATCAAGATCATGAAAAAGATACTAGTTTTTATTATTTTTTCCCAAGATCTCGATTACAACAAAAAGCGACATCATTAATTTATTTACATATTTAAGAATTCTTTAATTGCTTGGAACCACTTTCCAAAACTCAATCATATAAACTTGTGAATCTTATAGATGTGCGAGAAATTGGCAACAGTGGGGACACTTGCCAACCAATAAAATTAAAGTTATGCAAAATAAAGAGGGAAGAAGAAATCATTCATAGAAAATTTGTAAAGTTTGAACAGAGTTTTTTTTAGACTAATCTGGTTGGTATTCATCGCAGATTAGTGCTTAATAAGCAAATGGTTGATGTTAGGTTCATATACAAGATAATTTAAAATTCAAATTTTTTAAAATCAACTTTTTTTGGAAAACGATAAAATAAAAGACCTTTTAGATTTTAGTGTTAATCAAATCTCAAATTTAGATAGATTCTCTGACTTCTTCTTCCTGTAGTCAATTTTCTAGAACACTATATAAATCAAAAATGTTGAAGTTATTTTTATTTTTAGATTTTTACAAATCATTGTTTAAACTGTCAGATAAAATTTTTTCACACAGACAAACATCGATACACTGTCATCATTACCATCTGATATCATTAAATAAAAATTAATATCAAATGGCAATATAGAATCAGTAAAACGTATGCTACGTTCTCTCAAAGATGGCAAGCATGATGCCCAAGGACAAATATTAAGAACACAAAAATTGATCAGTTTAAAAGAGTTAGACACAAATATTACTTTTAAGACGTGTACTGATCATTTCTACTTTTTTTTACTGAATTTACATATGAATCATAAACCAATAGAAACATTAAAACTTGTTCTATTGAATAAAAGTGAATAACATTTCTTTATTTTATTGTCTGTTCATCTCATAACTTTTTTTTTATTGTTATAATATCTTTGTTGTATGTTTGCTGTTGCTTTTGTTTTCACTTGTCCGATGAATTATTAACGATGAATGATATTGTGTTTTTGCACAATAATTCTCAAGAAATACAACAGAATATGACGATATATTCATGAGCCAGAAATCGAAGATTCGAAAAAATTCAAAGAATTCAAGTAATTCTATCCAACTTAAGGGAGTCGAATTGCATGTGAAATGTCAAACATCTATTCTTCAATATTCGCACGAACTAAAAGAATTCATAAAATCAGAAACATATAAATGATATTTAATATTTTCAACTAATTCGGAATAAGAGTGGTGTCTGAATTGCTCCCAGCTAGATAGCAAAGTTTATTGTCAGAAGAGATTCGCTCTGATAGACACCTGGTGTAGTATGAACGGAAAATTGTCGCCTTTTCACCTTCAGACTCTAATATTGTTGAATTTCTTATCCTCATTGAGTTATTTTGAATTATCTCTAATTTTCTTGAATGGTTAATCTATGGATCTTAAGTATTGTTATCCCATCGTGTCTATATCACTACAAATACAACATTATCTAATTCTCACACAAGAGAAGAGGAAGAGAAACATACATCGTCAAGATCAATACTAGTAAGGAAGGAGTCATTTGGAGGAAAGAAAAAGAAGATTAGCGAAGTGTGGCGGACGTTAAATGTTTTACTGTATAACGAAAAAAAGAGAAGTAACGATGGTTTTTTCTCGTTCTTGTCATGTTAAGCTTGAATGCTTTCACAGCAGCCTCATGCAAGGCAGAGAAAGAAGAAAGCCATAAAAGGAATCAATGAAAAAAATGACTAATAAATGATGTTTTTCTTACGAAAATCATTGAAGGAGAAAGTATATCCCACGCATTGTCACTAAAGTTATTGTGCGTAGAGAAAAGCAACAGAAATTTGTTAAAAATAGCAAAATGAAAAATGATGCCGTTGATTTTTTCTGTCCGTTCGTTTGGATGTCTCCAACAAATAAATATTTTGTGTTCTTTTTCTCTCTTTTCCTTTCTTATTTTTTACCTTAATATTTTCAATAAAAACCAAGAAGGGTTTGTTCTTGATTGTGAACGAAAAACATAAAATAACCTGCGTAATAGAAAAATAAAGAGAAAAAGAGAATAAATAGATATATACAGAGAGAAAGTGGTGTATGTGTGATTGACAAAAAGTTATTTATAATTTTCAATTGACAATCAACTTATTCTTCAGAGCAATATGGATGTACAAAAGCCAAACGAGCCTATGTCTAAATCATCAAGTATCCCATTGACAACAACATCAGTACAGTCGGCTACCATTCGTTCAAGACGCCGCATTTTCCAAGACTTCTTTCTGATATGGTTGGATGCCAATATTGACCAAGCTAATAAAGATTATCAAAGCATTTTGGCTAGACATCGGCATCACCATGGCAACTGGTCACGACAGCGCTAGTATCTATGGAAGCAAGAGTTGACTGTGGCGCTGTCGTGACCAGTTGCCATGGTGATGCCGATGTCTAATTTTGGCACAACTGCAAAGCATAGCAAAAGAAGTTCATATCTTTACGCAGAGCGATCAATGTATTGACTTCCTCACCGAAGTCGATGATAGAAAGGCGTTCCTCATTGTAACGGATACTATGGGACAAAAAATCATATCCCTCATTCATGATATTCCTCATATTGATAGCATTTATGTCTTTTCTGAAAACAAAGCTCGATACGAAGATTGCACCAACGATTGGAACAAAATTAGAGGTATATATACGGAAATCACGTCCATCTGTAAAGCACTGAAAGTGACCATCAAACAATGCAACCAAGATGACATCTCGATAAGCTTTGTCAATGTAAATCAAGAAGGTTTCAGCCAAAATCTGCACGAACTAGAACCTTCATTTATGTATACTCAACTATTCAAAGAAATTCTTCTTGAAATCGATCATACCGAACAATCAATTAAGGACTTTACTCAATTCTGCCGTAACGAATACAAAAACAATACCGTTACATTGAACCATATCGATGAATTCGAACGTGATTATCGTCCACAATCATCAATTTGGTGGTACACTCGGGAATATTTTCTCTACCAGATGCTCAACTGGTCTCTTCGAACATTGGAATCCGAAACAATTATGAAAATGGGCTTCTTTATTCGTGATCTGCATTGCCAAATAGAAGAATTACACAAACAACAGGCAAGAGGCTCTGAAAGAGAGCCCCTTATTGTTTACCGAGGGCAGGGATTATCCACTGCCGATTTTGAAAAACTTCAGAAAATGAAAAGTGGTTTGATGTCCTTTAACAATTTTTTATCCACCAGTGAAAACCGAGAGGTTTCCTTCAACTACGCCGAAAGTGCCTCAACAGCAAGCAATATGGTGGGCATTCTCTTTCAAATGTCCATTGATCGCACCGTCATATCAACTCCCTTCGCCTCCATCCAGCAAGTGAGTTACTTCAATGAAGAACAAGAAATACTCTTCTCAATGCACACTGTTTTTCGTGTCGATGAAATCAAACAGATGATTAACAATAGTCGCCTCTGGGAAGTACAACTAACTCTCACAGCTGATAATGATAAACAGTTGGCTGCTCTCACTCGCAGCGACCTCTATGGATCCACAGTACGGCAGCGATTAGGTGATCTTATGTTCAAAGTGGGTCACTTCAATAAAACCGAAGAACTCTACAATGAATTACTGAAGAACTCGTTCAATGACAGTGATAGAGCATATATCTATCACCAACTTGGACTATCAAAACACGTAAAAGCACAGTATAAAGAAGCGGCTTCATTTTATGAAAAGTCTCTCGAACTCAAGCATACAATACTCTCAGAAGATGATCCCGAATTGGTTATTTCCTACAATTACATGACTGCATTGTATACACACATCGGTGACTACTCAAAAGCACTTGATTTTTCCGAAAAATCACATCAAATAGCAGAAAGAGCTCTTCCTCCGAATCATCTCCATTTGGCTATTTCTTACAACAACATCGGTGAAGTGTATAGAAACATGGCTGATTATTTGAAAGCACTTGAATTTTACGAAAAATCACGTCAAATAAGAGAAAAATCTCTCCCTTCGAATCATCCCGATTTGGCTCAATCCTACAGCGATATCGGTCTTGCCTATAACGACATGGGTGACTACTCGAAAGCACTTGAACTTTACGAAAAATCGCATCAAATATTAGAAAGAGCTCTTCCTCCGAATCATCCCGGTTTGGCTACTTCCTATAACAATATCGGTCTTGTCTATAACCACATGGGTGACTACTCGAAAGCACTTGAATTTTTCGAAAAATCGCATCAAATATTAGAAAAAGCTCTTCCTTCGAATCATCCCAGTTTAGCTACTTCTTACAGTAACATCGGTGAAGTGTATAGAAACATCGGTGACTACTCGAAAGCACTTGAATTTTACGAAAAATCACATCAAATAAGAGAAAAATCTCTTCATTCGAATC